GACTTGTATCTTTGTTAGGTCGGAAACTTTTCAGACCACCCTCGTAATGACATTTAAAAAAAAAAAATAATAACCCTGTCACGTCTTAGATGTTTTAAATGTGTTTATTTTGTCCTTTTGGGTCAATGGATTTAACCCGGGATGGACAAGTTCGTGTGATTGTGAATGAGTAAATGTGTGAATGTAGGCGAATAAACTAAAATTGTGATTTTACTTACTGATTCGACTTTTGTTTTTTCCATTAAAGTTAAACTTATTAGACTGTTTTTTAAACGTATTCTGTTCAATAGCCACAGAGAGACTAAGAAGCTTGGGATCGGACTAAAAAGGTTCGTGGACGAAGATTTGGGAATATGAATAAGGTGTAACACGATACTTAGGAATCAGTCAGAGAATATTTTAGAAAAACAAACTTTTTATCTATACAATAGCTTCCCAGCAAACACAAATATATAACTGTTACATAACTGTGAGGTAACGGAATGTAACATGTAATGTAACATGTAAGTTGCAAGTAACGTAGATGTTAGTTATAATTTCCCACTCATACGAAATTGCAACTATATAACAGAAATATAATTTGTTACAAAAATGTTGCATAACTGTTACTTTGATTATTGAATGATAACATAGCAGTTATGTAAATTATTGGCAAGTTATATAACTGGAATATAAATTATCGAATTGTTATATAACTATTATTTCATTTGTTATGAAATAGTTATATTAATTGTAGGAAGCAATTGAATCAAAGACTTCATATTTATAGGTATTACGTTTTCCATACAACATATTTCAATAAAAAGTCTTAAAGACACTCAAAAGATGCTAAATAGATTAAAAACGTCCAGTGTGTGTCTTTGAACGTTTGCAAAAAGTTTTTGAAACATGCATGTTGTGTAGAAAACGTAATATCTACAAATAAGAAGTCTCTGATTTAATAAATAATAACAACTTTATATATAATCATATTTAATTTATGTACTATTTCTCTCATCACATTAACAATATATTTATATTTTTTTAAACTTTAAATTTGCCGCAAACAGTATGTCATGCTAAATAAAGCACGAAAAACTGAAAGTTTTGTTGCATTGTTACATTACATTTGTTACTCCATGAATTACAAAAAGAAAAATAAACCTTTTACAACATCGTGTATTATAAATGTAATTATTTCAATATACTGTATTTATATATGCTTCACACATAATTAAAATCGTAATGAAAAAAAGAAATTGTATAAAAATCGTAATAAAAAGAAAAAAAATGTTTCCATTATTCATTTTCTAACGCCGTAATAATTACAAAAATCTTTGGGTATTATCACATCTTATAATGTATTATCACAGCTCATAATATGATCTTAATTTAACGAATTGTGCATTATATTTTAATCATCTTTGGCTTGATTTTCTTCTTTTGTTTCTTTGACTTGCAAAGCGTAACCATTCCGCTATTGCACTATCAAATTCACATTCTGTAAAAATACTATAGCGTAATATTATCTCTCCTGAAAAAAAAAGAATATCATATAAAACTGATGAAAGTGTTGTAATAAAAAATTTGACAAGTTCAACAATACACAAACCATATACAGGCACACATTAGAGATGCCCGATTATTAATCGATTCTTTCCCTAACAAATGTATGAAAAAAGGGTTGTTTGTGCTGCTTGCATGTTTCATACTTTTCGCTTTTAAAAAGAGATAGACGCCTACCCTTATAGAAATAGCATACTAAGAATCATTGATAATTACTTATTTTCAGTATTAAAAATACTGGATAATAAGTAATTATCAATGATTCTTAGTATGATATTTCTATAAGGGTAATCAGACGCTTGGAAGAAACAATCGAGTTGATTGTCTCGCTTTTGCTTCTTCTAAACATTCAAATATACTTCTGTCTAAATTTTTTTATACGAAAGTTTTTAAATACGAAAAGTGCGAAGAGTGCAAACAACACGAATAAGCCTATTTTTGGAGAAAGAATTGATTCAGAATCGGGCATCTTTAGCG